CTCACCTCAGTGGGTCGCTTCTCCTGACTCAACCCGAGAGCGCTGATGGAGAGGAGGTCTGGGATTGCAGCATGTTCTGGGGGAAATGATCCTTTCTAGATGCCAGTGGCTTTAACTTTTGTTGGCCTGTTGCATTGCATCCTCTAAATTATTAGAAAGGTCTAAACTGGGAATCCAGAGATTCCTGTTCCAATCATGGCAAGACAGGAGACAAATTCCTTCTCTCTGGTCCTCAGTCTCTTCATCCAAAAGCAAGGCTGTGGGCTGCCTTAGCATTGCTCCAAAGTTTGGATCCACACACTAAGGAAGGGGGGAGGGTAGAACAGGAACCCAGCCAGGGTGCCAGCATTTTTATCTTGCCACGTCAGCACATTGAAACCAAAACCCTCTACCATCTATCAGTGTATAACAGAAAAACACAGCCATGCTCTGTACCTGGGAAGGACTTTATCTATAAACTGAGGAGAGTTCTTTCAGTGGGATAAATTTAGCTCTAAGGAAACGCTCACTATGTTGTTTGCACTTTTCTTTTTCCCTAAGCATGTTGGTTTTCCATTGCTCTTATCCGATCACCACAGACTTAGTGGTTTCGACCACACTCATTTATCACCTCACAGTTCCCTGCCAGGGGTCTGGGCTCTCTGCTGGTTGCTATGCTCAGGGCTTCTCAAGGTGTCAGCTGGGCTGGGTTCTGTCAGGGGGCTGATGCAGATTTGCTTCCATGCATGTTCAGGTTATTGGCAGAATCCAAGTCCTTGGAACTGTAGCACTGAGGTCCCTGTTTCCTTGGCATGTGGCCCTCTACATCTTCAAACCAACAATGGCACGTCAAACCCATGTCAGGCTTCCCAGTTCTGATTTTCCATCTGCCGCCGACTGAAGAGATGTGCTTTCAAGGGCTTTTGTGATTACATTGGGTCCACCTGGATGATAATTTCAAGGGCAGTTAATTAGTGGCCTAATTAGATCTGCAAAAATCTCTTTTTCCCTGAAACATAACGTTCACAGGATTAACACCAAAGAATGAAGTTCACAAGGCCAGAGCTCTGTCTACCATACTTTATCTGGTGAACACTGGATCAGGAAAACACCTGAGAACATTGCAGGATTCTTCCAGCTCCAGGACTAATTGTCTGAAAGCCTCAATTTTTTTTTTAAAATTTTTTTTTTGGTACCAGGGATCAAACTCACGACCACATTCTTGCAAGGCAGGCACTTATGCCGCTGAGCTAAATCCCCGGCTGATAGCCTCAATTTTTTGAGTTGACTTATTCAAAAGTTGTGTGAAGCTAGGGCATCATTACTAATGCAAAATCTTGGACAGAGTAGGTATTCTAGAAATATTTGCTAAGCAAACAAGTATTAATAAGTATTAATGAGTTCATTGTTCTTTTTGGTACCGGGAGAGTTCATTGTTCTTGATATTATTTTAATGCAACTTTAGTTATAAATTTTGTGATAGTGTCTTATGAGTGTACATAGATTAGAAAAAAAGCCAAAATAATTACAGAGATGTATTAAAACTATAGCTGTTCAGTAAATCACAGTAGAAATCATGAAAACACGAACTGCTCTCTCCTATCAGCTCGTGCCCATACAGTGTGTGAACCATGGCTTTAGTTCCGGGCACAGATAATAAATCAAAGACCCCAAGAAATAGTAAGAACAATCTTTCCTCTACGCCCTTCCTTCTTTCATTTCTATCTTTCTACTGTTTCTTTCTTCTTGGCCAAAAAATAAAAAATAAATAAATTTAGCTGATTTTCAAATTAAAATTTAAAAACGGAATTATTTCCTTATACACAGGACATAATCCAAACTCCCCATCCTGGGGCTCAGAGCCCTACTTTCCTGTTCCTGACCACCCTGTCCCTTCTCTGTCCCCTCACTTCCTGCCTCCTTGCTGGTCTTGGTGCTGCTCGTTTGCCTATGTCTCTAGTGTCCAGAACCCCCTCTGCCAGAGCCCTCCCTGGCTCTTCCTGGGGGGCCAGAGCCTGGGGCTGCTCCTGAGCATTGTCTCCTCTGTGATGTGGGGACCCGGGCCAGGCCCTGTGTCTCATGGACCCCAGTGGATGGTTAGGGTGCTCTCCTTGGCCAGGACATACATTGGTGAAATCATTTTCTTATCGGTTGGAAGCCACTTGGGGAAATTTCATTTCATTTTTCATTCTCTCTCTCTCTCTCTCTCTCTCTCTCTCTCTCTCTCTCTCTCTCTCTCTCTCTGTCTGTCCCTGTCTCTGTCTCTCTGTTTTCAGCACTAGGGATCTAACACAAGACCTTTACAGTGAGCTACATCCCTCAGCCCTTTTTTATTTTTGCATTTCAAGATGGCGTCTTGCTAACTGCTAAGTTACCCAGGCTGCACTCAAACTTGCTGTCTTTCTGCATCAGTCTCCCAGTTCTGGGATTATAGGAAGTTTCAAACACTAACAAATAGTAACCTACTCTGTCCCGTACTATGTTTACTTAAAGGGTAGGCAGGAATAAGCCGAAAGAAAAGGAGGACAAAATGTGGAGACAGACAAAGATAAGGAGAGAGACACAGAGGTCAAAGGAGAAGGGAGGAAAATGAGGTGTGGCATCATAGGCTTCTCAGCATCCAGCAGGTACCTACTGAATCCTGACACGGGATCCATCTAAGCTCTGGGGAAATGTAACAATGTCCTTTTCCTTCTTGGGCTTAAATCCCAGTTAAGGAAATCAGCCAACATCCAGGCAATAAAAGGTAGACAAGAGGATATCAGATCATCTGAGGGACTGTGTTAGGCATTAATGTGATGCCACACCAGAGATCGTGGAATGGGTACTATTTTGGGTGAGGTCTGAATGCTGCTAAGGACTAAGATATACTGAGAATTAAGAGGATAATACTTGGGCAAAGAAAACAACAAGTAAAATGACCTAGAGACAGAAAGGAGATGGCTTTGATTTCAGGGAACTGAGGGGAGGCTGGTAGAGCCTCACTTGCTGAAAAGTGGGGAGAATGGAAGGAAATCAGGCCAGGGTGGGACGCAGGGGCTGGATTGTGTGGCTTGAATTATGATAAGGAGTGTTACACAAATTATTCCAAATATGTAAATTCAAAGATATGATCGGGTGACTCAGAGCCTTTGCTAACTGCCCTGCCTAAGGGTCATCAGATTGGACAGTGGAACTTTGCCTCACAGATTAATATCCAAGTATTTACAACTTACTACAATTGACAAAATGTGCTAGTTTTCAGTGTTTTCTTTTCTGTTCCCAAAGATTATAGCTTTATTACCCTATAGAACATTACTCACTTTTATATCTAATTTAACAATCTTATTCCTTATTATTTTTATTTGCCATAAAATCTCTATTTCTTAAGTTTTCTTGAATCTTTGTCATTTTTAAGATCCCCTTATCAATAAGTTCCATAAAATGTTGACATTTACACACTATCGATTTTTAAGAGAATTATGTGTTTAACCTTTTGAGAATTACATCCAATAAGAATCTGAGCTTTAAGTGCCTAGAAAGCAGGAAGATGAGAATAAATTTATGTTTAGCAAAGGGATTGAGACTGCTGGCTGGTGGATGGGCTTTTCTGGGCCCAAGTATTAGCAAGATGCCCAGCTAAGAGCCAGGGCTCTGTCCAGGAAAGGGCTGACCATGTGCCTGTGATGAGCGAGGTAGAGGCAAGGTGGGATATCAGCCATAATTGACCCCCACCCTCGTGGACATTTGTCATCTTTCCATTGCCATGTTCTGTTTTACTGGTCAGTCTTCCTGTCCACTGTGCGGGCTCTTCGGCAGGGTGGCACCCGGCCTTCACACATCCTCCCCATCCAGCCTTGGGCTGAGCAAGAGCACTGCTTGGCAAGTGTTTCCAAATGAATTCTTTCCTGTAGATTCATCATTATCTTCTATTTTTTTAATATTGTAAAATATGTATTGCACAAAGCTTATCATGTTAGGTATCTTTAAGTGCACAGTGCTGTGGTATAAAGTAGATTCACATAGCTGGGCCCCACTGTGACCCTCTGTGCCTAGAATGTTTCCTTCACCATGAACTGAAGCTCAGTCTATGACACACTCGCTCCCCGCTACTGCCTTTCCCTGCCCCTGGCAACTACCATCAGCTTGGCCAGTCTTAAAATTGGAATTTTTCTCTGTCTGAATTTGATACTAGGTGCTTAGGATGAGTGAAATCATACACAATTTTCCTTTTATTGGCTTATTTTCCTTAGCACACTGTCTTCAGGGGACATTCACATTGCAGCAAGCGTCAGCATCTCCCTCCTGTTAGGGGAAGTGTTATCTCAGACTCCGTGTGTGTCCTACAGGCTGTTTATCCATCCATCTGTTGAACACTGAGATGCTTCTGTCTTTGGGCTGCTGTGACTGATGGTGATATGGACCCAATGAACAAATATCTCCCTGAGTTGGATGCACATCCAGAAGGAATCACCTTGTGCTTTCACTAACAGCACACAGGCGTTCCAGTTTCTCCACGTCCTCATCAACACTTGCTATTTTCTGTTCTTTTTTAAATGCCAAGGGGTGTTCACAGATAAGAAGGGGACCAAGAGATGGAGGGAGAGGGGAGAGAGAGAAAGGAAAATTAATTGAAATGTGTTGTGTACATGTACCAACTCCCAGTGATGAATGTAAATTATGGACTGCATATATATACTAATAAAATAAAAAAAATAGCTTAAAAATAAAACATAGATTGTTATGGGAAGGCGAGAGCCAGGATGAGGTGTTTTGGAGGTTTTTCTTCAGTGTGCTCTAGGAAGATGGCCAAGGGGCTGGAGCGGTCCCTGGGTGCTTAGCAGGAGGGGTGATGGGGTGCCAAGGCCATGCTTCACTGAGCTCATTGCATGCTCAAGGGCTGATGAGGGGCCCAACCATGAGAGAAGGATGCTAAAGGGTTCCTGCAAGGCAGAGTGGTTTGTGTGACTGCATGCTGGGCTCAGGCACCTGAGGAGAGCTGTGTCTAATCTTGGCCTCTCTTTCTGTGTGTTGCTTTCCAGTGTGACAACGCAAAAGGGCTGAAAGCCTTCTACGATGCAATAAAATATGGTCCTAACCACTTGATGGTGTTTGGAGGCGTCTGTCCATCTGTCACATCTATCATTGCCGAGTCCCTCCAAGGCTGGAACCTCGTGCAGGTAAAGTCCAAGCTGCTTCTTCTGGGGCAGACTGTCCTGGTTGGAAACCACAAGCTGTGTTTAGGAATGGTTCCTCACATGATTACCCGCCTCCTGGGCTGATCTGGTGTGGCCCATGCTGTGGGTACTTAAAGGCAGCCCTGATGCCACCATAAGCTATCAGACCTCTCAGTGTTCGTCACGGCCTCCTAAACCAACTCAAGGGGCTGTCAGCACCAGCTGAGTCCCTGTCCAGGGTGATCTGCTTCCGCCACCTGCCAGACAGTGCCTGCCCCACTCAAATCTTATTCCTGGGGGGCCTCAAAGCCCATAGCACTGTGTCCTTAATCAGAGCCCTTTCGCTTTCCCTCCTTACTGAACTATCATTTGTCCAGTAGGGGCCTTTCTCCTTAGTAAAGCCTTTCTCGGGTGTTCACTGTATACTGCAGAATTGATACACTACTGAATGTTCCACCAAGGAATACGTAGTTGGTTGTAGGGGAAGTCACCATTGTCAGCTATTATTTGGAATGGGATAGAAGAGTGTAGAAAGCGTTAGCCACCGTGGATGAGTAGTACTCAGTGCACACATTTACTTCTTGATACACCCATCCATCATCCATACTTCTAACTAATCAACAAATATTTGAAAATTTCGTAGGCTTTGGTGATAAAAGGCTGAACAAGACAGACAGGTCCTCATAATTTTAGAGCTTACATTCGAGGAGGAAGACAGGCAATAAGCGAATGGATAACTAAGTAGTAATATGGAGAGATAATGGTAATATATGTTGCTCCAAGTAAGTACTGTTCTGAGAACTTATGTGTCTGAATTCATTTAATCCTTATAACTGTTCCGTGACACTCTTGTTATCCCCATTTTATTCCTGTCAGGAAACTGGGGCATAGAGAGAGAGGCTAGATAACTTGCCCAAAGATTCATAGTTGAAAAGTACTAAGACCAGGATTTGAACTCAGCTAGTCTGGGCCTTAAGGTGAGGTGGCTGTGATAGAAAGAACAGGGTGATGGATGAATAAAGTGACGACCTCGGGGTGATTAGAAAAGGCCCCCTGGAGGAGATGCAGGCGAACAGAGACTAGGGGCATGGGAAGGCACCACGAGGTGGAGAGCATCCCCAGGGTGAATGAATGGTAACTGTAGCAGGCAGCTGGCCCTGGGAACAGACGACCCAGCGGTGGGGCTGGAGCCCGGGGCTGGGGAGTTAGGGTGTGAGAGTGATGGTGAAGAGGTGACTGGGGTCTGACCACACAGAGTTCATCTGCACTATACTCACACAGGCTGAGGACCTGAGGCCTGTGTGCATGGGGTGCTGAGGAAGAACCCAAGCACGCAGCCAAGAGAGGCAGTGGGTGCAAACCATGGCAGAGGTGTGATGAGGGAGAGTATGCCCACTCGGCCCTGGGCCGAGGAAGGGTTCCCAGGCCAAGGGAGACAGAGCTGGCTGCTGAAGGAGGAGAGGTACAGGACAGCTGGAGACGTGCAGGAGAGCTCTGCAGGCAGAGGAAACTGGGCGTGTAAAAGTGGGAGGTGGGAAAGCGTGTGGGCTTGGAGAGGGTGATTCACTCCGTGTGGCCGGAGCAGGCCACCACGCATGTGGGTGGATGCAACAGGAGGAGGCCAGGGAAGCAGCTCAGCAAACCTTTTCATGGTGTGAGCCTCACTGTGCAGCTGAGAGCCAGAGCGGCTCAGTGTGTTGTGGGGACCTGACTCCAAGCCCTGGAGACCTCTAACAAGTCCCTCCCCTTCTCCGAGCCTGAGCCTCCCTTCCTGGAAGCCAAGAAACAGGACCCCACTTATGAGCACCAGGCGCTGCCACTCTGAGCCTCAGTTCCCTCATCTGTACAGTGCAGGGAGTAGGTGGCCTCGTTTCACAAGGGTGCTGCATGCATTCGAGATGGCAAGTGATCTGAACTGTGTGGCAAGTGATCCCTTTCTCCAAGGTGAATATGTAGTATTCCTGGTTTTCCTTGCGTTTGCATCACCTGAAACATCCCATTGGCCCTGTATCTAGTGGTGGCAAGTGCCATCCATTCTTTGAGACCAGCTTACATACTGCTCCTCATTACTGCTAAGAGCCACCATAGAAAGCTTTCCTATCCCTCCCACCTTGCTCATTTCTAGCAGAGCAGGTATACAGCCTGGTTCTCTCTCGGCCTATGCCTCTCTTAGAGTTTTGCAGATATGGGGACAGGTGTGCAAGTGTTTATCTGCCTGGCTGACCTGCAAGTTCAGTGAGGAGAGAATCCAGGTCTAAGATATTGTACCTCTATTTTCCTTAACATTTCAGACCTTATTAGATACCTTCTGAGTTATCAGCAGGACGGAAGGAGGCAGAAAGAAATGGAAGGATGGAGGGCTTGCAAATAGACATTTTCTCGACTTGAGAGACCAAGCTGCCTAGGAAACCCCGTGCCCAGAGAGGGAGCCAAGGGGCTTCCTGCCCTCAGCCCCATCAAGAACTGCCTGCCTCTCAGAATTCTCAGAGAAGCTGCAGGAGGGGAACTGGGTTATAAAATGGTGGTTTTGGTAGTAACTTATTACTACCAAAGGTAGCAAACCACCCCAAAATTTGTGGCACAAAGCAGCAATGTGTTTTATTGTTGCATTATTTCTGAGTATCAGGAATTCAGATCCACAGAGACTGGTGTCTCCTCCCTGGTGTCTTGGGCTCAGCTGAGAGATCTGCTTGCTGGAAGTTAGAGGGTCTCCTGTGAAGGCGGCAGGCTCACCACAAGGGCCTCTTCACGGGACTGTTTGCACATCCTCAGAACATAGCAGTAGAATCCCCCAAAGTGAGTCCTCTAAGCCAGAGCTGGCTGTAAGCTTTCAGACCGACTGTGGAAACTGCGCACCAATACTTTGGACATGTGCTGTTGATCTTGGAAATCAGCACTGAGCTGCTGTGAAAGAGGAGTATCAAGGTCCAGAGGGAGGGAGGTGGCTTGAGGCTGTCTTAGAGGCAGGCCAGCACAGTGACTGTAGTCAATGAGGAGGCAGGAGATCAGGTTGCCCAGATGAGAAACTGACCCTCGGTCCCTTCCCTGTTGTGCAAAACACCTGCCCATCCCTCAGAACCCTGGGTGAGTTCCACTTCCTCTGTGATATCTTCTCTGATGCCTCTCTTTTACCTCCTCTTCTGTGGCCCCTGGTCTCCCAGACAAATGAACTATTTCATCACCTTTGAAGCCAGGCATTACAACAGGGAGTCCCTTCTTTTCCAAGCAGGTGAAAATTTGTTCCTGGATGGGAAGCAAAAATATCTGAGTTTTTCATTAAAAATTTTTAATTAGTACATGTTTTAGTACATAACGATTACATTTACTGTGGGGAATAGGTTCATGTACATAACACAGCTCAATTCTTTTTATTTCCCTTCTCCTCTCCTTCCTCCCCCGCCCTCCATTTCAAGATCTCCTTCCCATTCACAAAGGTCTAGCTGGCTCTTTATTGCTTATCTTTTCTTTTGCTATTTAAACTATTTATACTTTGGGTTTCTCGTACAAGAGAGGTTAAGTGATATTTAAACTTACGTGCCTGCTTTATTTCACTTAACATGGACTCAAGGTGCACTCATTTTCCTTCAAATGACTCAAATTTATCCGTCTTTATGGCAGAGTTAGTACTCTAAGGTATATAAGTACCACAATTTCTTTATCCGTTCCTCTGTTGGTGATAATATAGGCTGCTTGTAAGGGTTAAGTACGCCAATTGTGCTGTTAAACATGAGTGTATTTGTACCACTGTAGTTGATGTCTTTAATTCTTTCAGAAAGATACCTAGAAGCAGAATTGAATGGAATTTACAGTTTTAGTTTTTTGAGGAGTCTCCATACTGATTTCTGTAGTAGCAATACTGGTTTACATTTACGACAACAAAATAGAAGGTTTCTTTTTTCCCATAGCCCCTCCAGCATGTATATGGTGCATAAACAGATATATGGGCATCTGTGGTGTTATAATGTCATGAGAGTCGGACTAGGAAAAAGCATCTTCCAAAGCACCTTAGGAGAGTGAAGAGGAGGTAAAGAGGAGGTTAAGTGACTCAGGCTCACGCCACTCCTGTATCACACACAGTGTTCTGTTACTAAGGGAATTATGTGCAGAGGAAGTAATTCATTCTATATCGCTCTCTTGCCTACTGGATGAGGCCCCTTGTGTTCTTTATTCCTGTGCCAAGCACAGCACCTGGCTCATAGCATGACCTTGCTAAATGCTGACCTGAGTACAGAGGACAGGCTGGAGTGGGTCCCTCATGGTGTGGATTTGCCCCTGAGGCAGTGCAGGGCGTGGAGTGAGCAGGTTCTCAGCCTCCACCTACCAATGAAGAAATGTCCTACATTTCGGTGGCTCCTGGGTGATGCATAGTCCACTGCTACCCTAATGCTTGTGAACACAAAGGCTGGACCAAGAGGTTCAACTGTGCACACATCCAGCAGCCCAGGGAACTGAATGGTGTCTGTAAGCTTGGAGTGCTATGGGCAGCAAAGGCAGCTCTGTGGGATGAGGCCAGGAGAGTGGACTTCTCTTAGACTTTTGGAGCTGGGCAGGTGGGATGGAGGAGCAAATACTCGGGTCCTGGTAGAGAAGGATACAGTAGCCTGAGAGTCTGGATTTCCGCCTCCTTCCCACTTTGAGGACACATAGCACCATTTGGGGGCCAACCTCTATGGACTTCCCACAGTGGGGAGGCTGAGCCTGCTGCAGAGAGGGTGGAGGGCTGGGTGGGTGGGTCTGCAGTCATCAAGGGATTTGATGGATCCCTTAACTTATTCAAAATTGGGCTCCAAAACAGTCTCACAAGCGGAAAAATGCATGTAATTTGTATAATTGAAAAGGAGCTCTGGCTGCCCTTTGGGGGAGCAGTGCTTGCTGGACAGAAACAGGCTGGAATGCATAATCAGTTGTTTCTGTTTCCTGTGCCACAAAAATTGGGAGAGATTCACAGGCTGCAGGATGAAAATTCCCCCTGGTGCTGAAACCAGTTAAATATAACTTTTGCT